CGCATTCTATGGAGGCATAGCAGTATCACATCATCAGACACTATAGCTCACCTGGGATTACTTCTGGCTGATATGACCTTCGCCAGACTATTCATTCCTATGTGGTAAAGACTGGAGAAATGCGCAGATGTTCATCCGAGAATAGAAAGTTCGCAGCTTGACAGTAATCTTGCATGATTCTATGATAGAAATTCTATCATGTAAAAGGTCAACACTCCAGACGGTGAATCTTACAGATCGGGTTCAAATCTCGGAAGAAATCGAGGATTTGTACAAAACATCTGCCTGAGCATAAATAGTAGGGATGAACCTTTCCAAACCATCTTTTGGTGTAACGGTTATCGTCCAGGTCTCTACTCTTGACGATCAGGGTTCGAATCCCGGATTCAACTCGAGTTTTATGTTAATACATACCTCAAACGTGGGAGCGTCCCCGCCGTTCTTATATACGTATTTTTCTATAGTAATGGTGAGCACCGCAGACCCTCAACGTAGGGTAACTGTCGGTAAACTATCTGCTAACATGCAACTCAGTCTCTTATTCATGACGAACACCAGAGCACTCAATTCATTAGTATCGCGTATCCCGACGTGGAGGTGAAGTTGCGTTTGTCGTAATTAGCGGGTAAGCAGCGCAGTGACGATTGTGTTGATTGTGTTGGTCACAGTGTTATTGTTAGCAAGCGAGCTGCTAGTATATTCCATTGCTATGCCCGAGCCTTTAGAGGTGATAGAACTATGTGGCAGACAACCACTTCACTTCCAACATCATTAGGAAAGCATCGTTCCATTACTTGTCGACAACACTCCTGTGACTACTGTCGTCTCCCAATTTGGAATATTTTCTTCGTTCATCATCGGTTTCCCCCACTCATTCACACAACAACAACCACAAAGTTAATGCACGAAATGAACTACAGCTAGACTCATCACATTCTACTAACTTTACGACTGGAAGCTCTCCGTCTAAGAGTGTACCTGTTCACACCGCAATAGCAACAACAACAAGTGCAGGCGACCGATTCACCTTCCCGCTTCTGATCTGATCATATCCAACGACGACGGTGTACTTTCCTCGTTATCTCCCAACTCTTCCACCGCCTCAGGAGGGGGTCGGTTCAAAGGCGTTACACTCCATCTAGCTTGGACCTATAGTGAAGTGGAAATACTATCGGACAAATTGATTAATCATGATGCACATCGTGAAACACTTCGCTCCGCTGTGCTCGAGACCAGACGATTCCGACATGAAATCTATGGATTTGAGACACCCCCCTCACGTGGTGG